ATTAAGTTATTAATTTTAAAATATTCAAATTATACAATGGAACATACAAAATCAATTTTTGTATAAATTGAGAAATAATAATTTATTTGTAAAATTATGTTAACTACTAAAGTTGGTTCCATCAAACCTAATAAGAGTATTAAAGTAATTAATTTGAATTGTTTTATACTTAAGTAAATTTAATTAATTTTATCTATAGTCAAGTTATAATCATCATAATTCTAATCAAAATTATAAAAGGTATTAATATTCCAACAAAATAATAATATTCAATAAAAACAATAATTAAACATGCATATTTTATTCACGAATAAACATTCCATATTAATATACCAYCCTAATACTAAAATTAGATTAACGCAGTTCGTGCTTTTATAAAAAATTAAGCTTCATATATTTTATATCATTGTATAAACATGCGTTATGGAAAAGCGTAACAAAAATAGTTAGTGGAATAGCTAAAACCGTTTCCCATTTTCAACAATAACCCTGCAAAGTGTGTTAGAATTAAATTAAAGAAATATAAAAAAATATACAACTCTATAGATTATCTAGAGTAATAAATAAAATTAAAGCGAATGCCCAAAAAATGACTTTTAATGCCAAAAAAATGACGTCCACAAAAATGTTAATGTAAATTGGAACAAAAATTTAAAATATAAATATTTGTTATAGATACAACAGTCTTACCACTTCCTGTTCCGGAAAATTTTATGGTAGATTTTGAAGAAGGTATAGAAGTGTAGTGCGTTTAGAGAATATTCGCGAAGAGTACAGGGAAGAGTGAACGAAAACAAATAAAATCACAAAAACAAAACAAATGATGAAAGGTAAAAATAATTTACATGTATTGTGATCAGTCTGATGAACATAAAAATGTGCTCAACATCAATTATTTAATGCTAAACAGGCTCATTTTTTTTATATTCATCAAATCGTTGGTAATAACATTGTAGGTATGCTTATTATTTGTATCGATATCAATAGTAAGCGCCTCATATAGAACCTCAGCCTTTTAGTTTTAATGTTCTTGAAATAATCAAATCAACAATTTTATCAGATACACATATCATATTTTAATAGTTGGGCAACTAATAAATAATGGTGCCTCCCTACACTCTCGTCTTCCTAAAACCGTTCCAAAAACCGATTTTCTATTGATTTAGAAAACATACATCATATTACGTTAATATAATGATTGTAATTGGGTACTGTTAGTTGTTTGAAAATTAATTAAAATTTTTATTTTTATTTACATTTTAAAATACCGATCAAAATAACAAATCGGTTTGAAATGGATGAAATGGATGATATGGTGTATTATTTTTCTTTTGGCTTTTCCATACTTATTATTGTTCACTTGTCACTTGCAAGTGTTTCTGTGTTGRAAATGTTGCCTATATATTGTTTATGATATGAGTTTATAAAACTATCATAAATATTGTAAAATTGTGTTAGGAAACCATCGCATGACAAACATCGTTTCTATTTGAAAATATAGGCAATAAGTTCTATTAGAAATAGCGAGTTATACGTTTGCACTGCATTAATGTCTCGTATTATTGTATTATCAAATTACAAAAAAAACTAACAATACCTAGTAAACAAATATTCTATATTTAATATAATTTATCGGTGTCTTATTTGAATGTGCTAAAAAATTATTGTAAGTAGTAACATAAAACAGAATTCTATCAATAAGTAATTGTGTACAATAAGAAATATGTAGTTTAAGTAACAATTATTGATATTTTATAACGAAATCAAAATATGTACAATAAAAAAATGTATGAGCTCAAATCTTCAATAATATATTAAGCATATTATGTATCATATAGAATATCACTAAAATACTATGGGTAAACCTACCAACATAAACAACTCACACATGTGAGTATTACAGTACTTTAGGTCTAGATTAAACCGTGTACAGTATATTATTATTATACAAACTAATATTAGACATTTAAAACAGATTTATTTGATGAAATTAATTATGAGAAACTTTTTCTTTGTTTTTTAAACAAATTAAATAAGTATGGACATCTTGCGCAGATAACAAAGTACGTTTGTTTATACTTTATACTATAATAAAAGACATCAGTATTAGGTACTAACCAAATAACAATACACCTTATCCATACTCGTGTTATATTATAAATTATTTATTATATTTGAAAAGGTCCGATTGAGTTTTCAACCTCTTGGTTTGCTATGTGTAAAATCATCAAACATTTTTTATTAGAACAAGTATATAATATAATTAGTAAATGCTTCACTCCCACTTCGTACTCAATAATTATATTTGAATAAGTTTTCGTCAATATAATAATAATGAAATTAAAATGTGTGAAAACTTTAAAAAGCATATACCTAGTATACAATATACATACAATAGTTTTATAGGTTAGGTCTTGTGTAATATACAATTTATAACTCAAAGAAATGTCAATTATAGGAAATCAATTACAAATTAGTGAAAATAAGTATACATAATACAATTAGGTAAGTACCTATATTGAATTTATTTTAAAACCCTCATGGTTTTTAACAGCATTAGTATAAAATATGCATGTTATAATATGTAGATAATACATATTAGACATACAAGTAATAGYTGATATTTTAATTTATAAAAATCATTTTGATATGTTAAAATTTTAATAGTATAAAATAGCATAATAGTAGGTATGAATTTATAAGTAGCGAAATAGTAAAAACTGAGTGATCTTGCGTTAAGGTCTGATGAGTGATGACACAATGAAAACTATTAAATCAATGTAATGTATATCTTATTTGATGGTAGTAAAAATAATAATGAAATCTATGGAAGGTATGATCATAATATGAACTATAAATTATGTTAATATAAATATTTCATTAATTTTATTGATACTCAAATATTTAATTTGTACCTACTCATTAGCGTTGAATTAGTATGGAACTTAATATTATAATTTTTATATCAGGAGTGTTGTATGCATAATCTTAATCATAAAACCTACGTCATGCAGCTACAATAGGATGTAAGGTAAGGGATACAATGTGTAGCTTTAATGTTTCAGACAAATTCAAACAAATACATGATGGTTTGTTTTTATGATATCCACAAAATATGTTCAATGTAGCACTACCTATATGAATACATAGCATATACACTAGGGGTAATGAATGAAATAAAAGTAWTATGAATAATATAATATAATTATCATATTGATGCATTCGTGTACCGATAGTATTATAGTAAAGACATTATATAGGTATACGAACCTGTTAAATCTGTAGGATAGAAAAGATAAATAAACAAATAGTGTAGATAGGTAGATAGGTAGATAGGATTGTTAACCGTAAAAATCCTGTTTGGCTACTTTCGCATAAACATCAAACAAAACCCTATAAAAAAAAACTCCATTTCTCTGCCATTCGTATAGGGGTATAAGGTATAAGGTTTATAACCAATAAATTAGCTTATATACAGTGCTGTACCCATTCGTATAAACACCTAAATTGTGTTTCAAACCAACTTTTTATGTACACATATATATTCAGTGTATCTAATTAAAAAACAATTCTAAAAATTACAAAAAAAACCACGTCGTCACCTATATTCATTCACACGTAATTGGTCTGAGGTTCCTGAGGCACTTACCGTGTACATCATACTTACTGGAGAAGTTCCTTGTAGCCAACATTGTCGTCAAAATTGCACCCTGAAAACACGTAAAAATATAGTTTGATTGGACTCTCACTCAACGTGAACGGGATAAAATTTAAAAAAACTGAATTTACTTTTAATTTTCGTCTGGCGTTGAACTTCTTCAAGCAGTCGACCGTTTCCTGTCTGTGTACAGCCGAAGCAACTTTCTCACGATACTGAAACACAACGGGCCATCAGAATTACATTATGAATACTCAAGATGTTACGTTTGCATGCAAAAAGTCCATAAAAATCAAAAATGAAACGTATTTATATTGTACAAGAATAAATATAAGTTTATTGTACACGTGAGACACAAGGATAACGGTGGGGTGTTTTCAATAAATTTATTGTCCACGCAATATGCGAGTATTATAAACGACGACCGCGTGGTACCATTAGAAAATGTGCCTTTCTTAAAAGTTGATTATTGGAAGTTCGATACGATTATTTATATGGCATATAAAAATAACACGAATAAGTTTAGAAATAACAGGTATATTAGATAAATGAATAAACAAGCAAATGACCATAGTTTAGTTGAATTCATAACTATGGTTTCTCAAAGGAAACATGGTTTCAGATGCATGTTATACGAGTATAGTGCATGTACGTATATTAAATCATAATCGTTAGTTTAAAAATATATATATAGATTTTTTTTTCTTTTCTAAGTATCAAACGCAACTTGGAAATGTGGAATTTAGAGCGCTTAAAATTTCGGTCTATATTTGTTAACATAAAAATATGTAAGTACAGGTTTATTTAAAAATATTTTACACCATTGGAAATATAAATGTAAAATAATCGATAGTCAACCAAATTAATGAGGTTTCAGGATGGGATAAAATTACTCACGATTCGGTTTCCTTCTGTACCTCAATAGGTTTATTCTTGGTTTGATTACCTCCTTTGGGTACATGATCATTTATTTATAAAAATCCATGAAAATAAAAACCTTAAAAGTGAATAAACTTACGCAAATCCATGGGTGTTTGAGTGCATCAGATGCTGTGACCCGTTTAGCGGGGTTTACAGTTAGCATTTGATTAATTAAATTTTTTGCGTCTGGCGTAACTGTATCCCACTCAGGCGACGGATACTAAGAAATCATACAAAAACAAATTACATTTTCAAATGAGAAAACTTATGTWATTATTTTCAAATGATCAATATTTATTTGTATGTTTTTAAAATTTCAAAATAATGAAGTATAGCCAATAACCATATARATACATGACATATGCTTAACAAAAATAATGTTGTATTACATTTTTATGAACCTAAAAATTAATGTAAAACAATCAAGTTTTAATCAACCTTTCATTAAAATGATAAATTATGGTTTAATATTTTTTTTCAACACTGGGGTTTTGAGAAACCAATTATTTACAAATTACGATGTAGTTTATTACCTCAGAAAGCTATATTGTTATGTATATAGAATATAGATTAAAGGTATTCTTTTTTGTCCATGCACGGATTAATTAACTTTTATATTTTCGACTAGATACTTAAGAGTTTCATTTAAATGCATTAATTATAAGCAAAGTGACAGTTAAATAGAACCACTATTAAAATTATTCATCTTGAATAAACAAATTTTTTTGGTATTTATCATTAATTTTTTTTTTCTATAATATAA